TTTGAATAAAGATAGACGAGTTGCGGTGCATTATTCACGTTACCTATATTTTGCCAATAAATTCCAAAAAGCCTTGTGTGCTCTATTTAACTTCAAAGCAGGCAACACCTATTGCTCACAGCAGTAATCTCTGCTGTAGCATAAGTATGAAGTGAGCGAAAGATTGAGTAAAATTGCAAATAAATTATATTTGATTATTCAATCGAGATTCTTACTTGTTTGAAAATCGATATATTGGACAGCTGACACGTTGACCACGAAAATCATATTTACACCGCACATTATGCCCTTATTGTTACGATAGGTATACGTATGGGGATGACAAAATCAGTGATTGAGGACTTGATTATATGGTGTTAATTATGAGAGAATGCTCCTGTATCATTAAATTCTAGAACATTACTTTAAGACGGATCGGTAAATTTAAACTCTGCAGCGTACATTTATTGCAAGTCATGATTTTCGTATTTACATATCCGGTTCCTGGAAAGGGTTACAGCAGTTTCTAAGCTTTTTTTAGGCTGCAAATTTGTTGAGTTAGAAAAAGATGGTACGAGCTTATGTGACAGTATTTACGCTCTCAAAAAGACAGATACTATGCTTTATTGAATGAATGCGCGAAAAACCACAACAATCAGGGCGAATCATAGGCAATCTTATTTGTGAAGAGAATAATGTTATGTACCAAAATTACTCTGCGTATCTCCATAAAATTATTCCTACAAAATGACTGGGATTATTGTTGAAGCGGCAATGGCGCACACTTGCATTTCAGATAGGGAAAGGGGTAGGGGACTATTTCCGCCTCAAGCTACGCAACAACTGTTCCTATTCCACGTTTTTTAGAGGATATCGAACGCCGATCACTCCCAGTTAAAGAGCTTTATATGACTCTTCTGACTACTTACGGCGATCCACAACTTCTCAGTGATAACTTGCAAACTTGAAAGGATCTGTGTGTAAGCCTTATGGTGATATACTACAGCCCTCCCAACCGTGCACAAGCATTCATGAAACTAATAATTACTCACTTGACAGTTGCTAATAACATATGACAACTCAGGCCTCGGCACGAGGTCTTCGATTGAACCTTACGAGAACGAATACCCGTTTGAAAAACCAAGGAAAAACGAAACCCTCTTTATAACCTGAACAAACACGTACAATCGGGACAGCATTGTAGTGCCGTATATTGGAGCGCGTTTTCTTCATGAAGGTAAAACAATTTAGGGCCTTAACAAGGAAGCGAGAAAGTGCTGTTATTTGATTATTGCGCTGTAAGTTGGATCGAAGGGTGCACAAAAAGTGTTTGCTAAAAAGAACGCAAATTTATGAGGAACAAAAAAGTGTTTGCTAATCGGAGACCTGAGGTTTCCCGTAGGTCTCCGCCGGAGACCTAAATCACATAAAGGTACCGCGGTTTTTTCATTCTCATAATATTTCAAAGATTTTTCAAACACTTTTTCTACTCCTTGTTGCGCATCTTTAAG